CAATTGCACATCCATAATGTTTGTATGTTGATACGCTTGTAAATAACATTAACGTAAAAGTCGAAACAACCTAGACTAGAAGTCAATTCACCAGTCCAGCCAACTATGACTCCCTAAGTTGCTTATATTTAATCAGATACTATTTCGTCATCATGCTTTGTTACCTTACCTGTTTATACCTCATGAGGGCGTTTTTTTATGGCAAGATGGCGCGAACAGAAGTCCTTCGCAGGTTTATGGTTTCTCATATTTAAATCATCATAACTCTGAAGATAATCATTTTTTTTCTTTCTTTTTTTTCAAATTTATAATCAATATACATAACTTGATAAATACAAACACCAAAATAGGCCCTATTTAGTTCCCCTTTAAGGTACATGAAGTTAATTTTTGATGCAGCAAGGGCATCTGAGTTCAGTATGGTTCTAACCAGTTTATTTTCACTACTAAGTCTTCTTGTGAAGAAAGAACACAGTTTTATGAGTTTTTACATTAAAAAGCTTTTTATCTGTCTACATCCTTAATTTTAGGCAATTTTAGTTTTCTTTAAAAATACTTTTATTTTACAGTGAGACACTTGTTGAGTCCCACTAAACTTACTGGTACCCCTATTTCCCAATATATCCACCCCCATTCGAAGGGGTGTGGTCCAATGTCTGCTATGGGGGTGAGGGTGGGGGTGAGGGTGTGTGTTATCTCACACTTACCGGTAGTAGCAATCTGCTGTGAAAGAAGCCTAACCTAAAAAAAAAATTGCTGTTTCATTTTATTAACATTGATACCATGTACAGTTACTGTTGTACAATATATTTTATGATTTCTACCACACATTCAACTATTCAAGTATCAGGCAGCCATATTATTTAGTGTTAAGTTCTCTTTTTGAAATCTAAATATGGTTGATGCAAAAAATTACAACATTTTAATAAACCATTTTCCGCTTTGTGTGAAATATCGCGAGACTGTTAAATTTGCCTAGCAACTGGTTGCCAGTTTTATGATACAGGTCAAGCTTTGATTCAAAATGACGCTAAATCGTGTTGTGCTGTGCAATCATGGCTGACTTTCCCAGGAAATTCAACGTTGAGTTGTCGAACTATAAAAAGAATATGCTTCTTGCAATCGCTAAAGCTGTGCATGGTTTGGAACTCAAGAAAGACCCTGATTTGTTTTCCACGATCCTAAAACGTCGTCACTACAAGACTTAACAAACGTGGTTGTAATTTCACCAATCCTTTCAAATTACCTGGTTACTCTAGTGATTTATGTAATCGATAAGCATTCGGCTTATCCAGTATTTTCATCTATTTGACGATAGCACTCTCCATTAGCCACATTAGCATATACCATAGAGCTATATATCTCAATGCTTATATAGTGTACTAACTGAAATTTGAAATGCCTAATGTGATAGCCGAAATAACAACTTAAATTCTGAAATTACAATATCATGCAATTCTATAGAACAATGCATTATGTATGGAAATAATATCCACTATGGTGCAAAATAATGATGAAATTAACGAAAATTTTGCACTGAATTTTGGATTGAAAAAATCTCTGGCATTCAAAGGATTACTGTTAACAGGATCTATGCTTTACAACTAGACCTATGACATATACTTGACACCCACACAACTTGCAATGCTATGGTATTTACGTGTTCATGCAAAAACATTGACATTTCCTGTACTCTTCTGGAACTACACTACCGTAATTTTATAATGTAATTTGGGGAAAAACTAGAGATTTTAATTTTGTGTTTTTTCTATATGTTCACTTTTATTATATTTAATTTTATTTCGTTTTGATTCCAAGTAATTTTGTTCAGATATGTAGGAATCAAATCCTTCTTTTAAATTCAATTATAAATAAATAAATAATTATATATATAAATAAATAAATGATATAAAGAAATTGTTAATCCATTAATTGTTTTGAAAATAGACAAATTTTGCTATTAATACATGTGACTTTCATGTTTTTACACTATAACATGGCCCTCACACATTAATTAATATTTATGTACAACCTTTTGCTAATTTTTATGAATTTTTCTATAATGTTATAAATAATTTTGGCTAAATTGGTCATAATTTCCCATTGGCTATGGGTGTTGATCAACATTTTTGGGAGAAATAAGAAAAATATATCTATAGGTTTTATTTTTTGAAAAAGTGATAAGTTTATTTTGGTGTTCAAAGTTGTTGAGTAATTGTATAGCATGGGAGAAATGTTTGTGTAAAAAGCAGTTTACTCTTACTACTAGTTTAATTATGACTGAGTGATTTTGTAACAACTCTAAAACAAGTAAGTTAATTATTTGTATGGAGCTACTGCATTTTTTTTTGTTCTTTTTTTTTTTTAGTAAAAAAACATCAGCTGTTTGAATTGTCTATTTTAGAACCAAATGATGGCCTATCACTAAATGAGAATATTTATGTCCATATCCTACTTTTTAAAACAACACCTTCTGATGCCTTTTTTCCCTCATTTATTTTGGCATGGACGCTTTAGCAATGTGTTAAACTTGTATTTTCTCATGTGCCTTTCTTGATCAGAAAAAATGGAGACAGTTCGCGACCCGTGATGATTCTTTCTCCACTAGTACAGAAGCACTTATGGATAAGGACAGCTTTATTTGAGAAACACTTAGCTAAGATTATTGAACATTTAGTAGAGAACAATAGGTAAGTACAGTGTATGAAACTGTTTATATTATATTTATCGTCCACGACAATGTCTGCTTTCTTTGTTGAATCACCATTTTGGAGCATTGATCAATCACTCAACTATGCCATTTATTATTAAATCTATTGCTATGTTTACACAACAACATTCTATCGGAGCTGAAATACTGCTCCTCCCACCAATTAACAAGAGATTATCTCCAATGCATGGTCGGGCTGAACGAGAGCAGAGATCCGCCGATTTCAATCTAGTTTGTTCAGAGGCGAACAACGCCTTCCATTATTTAGTATGAAAACACAATGGCTGAAAACAATTTTGACATTGTGCTTGTGTTGTTGCATATTTACATGTTGTGATGCATGTCAGAGCAACAGAGAAGGTTAATACAAAATATACTATCCTTGAGGAAACAGGTACGCATTGGGTCCCAATGCATTTACACAATCAGTGCCATGTCGGGCCCAATCCTATCAGAGCTCAACCCTGAAAGTTTATTGGTTCCAGCTTGGCTCGAGTCGAACTCATATACATTGCCAGTTTTGTTGGCCCAAGCAGTAGGGCTCTGATAAAATACTGTCGTGTAAATGCAGCATATTATGCCTTTGATTTAGAATGAGAGTAATTGTACCGATATTCTTTGTTTTATAAAAGTTTTTGCCGCAGATCTTGAATGATAATGACTTCTGCATAGTAGTATTTAATACCGGTATCTCTTTTTGATTAACAGTAAATATTATGAAAAGGAAGCACTACTTGCTGATCCAGTTGATGGGCCAATTCTAAGTTCTTTGCTCGGTGAGTTGTTTGTTTATCAACTAGAGTTAAACAGTTTCAAATTTGGAGGAATATTTGTTAGCGAGTTAGGGGAGTTCATATATATAAGTATATCTTGCAGGGTCCATAGCGTTGGGAAAATCCTTTGAAAGTCTTTGGATTTTTTGAGGTCTGGAAAATCTTTGAATTACAGGTAAAATAAACAAATCTTTGAAAAGTCTTTAAATTGCTTCATAGTTATAATTCAATTTATGGAAGAGTAGGAAATCAAACGGGCGGTGCACCACGGTCATTACTGCGGTGGTAGTGGGTGCTCGCCGGTCGACCGCATTTCATGCAAATTTATGCATAGATTCCATGACGCCGGCTGGCCGTGGTCTTCCGCGGTGGGCTCGCACAGCAATTCACACTTATTGTCAAGACTATTAATGAACACAAAGAACTGGGAAATTAAAAGGATCACAAAGTTCTAATGAAAAATTAAACCAATTTGGCTGAGCCAAAAGCTAGGAAACTAGTCTATAATAGTTTGACATTATTTTATTTGCCTTGGAATAAAATCACAAAACGATCCAGAAAGACGTAGAGATCAACATAATATAAAACATGATCGCATTATTTTTTGAATATATATCATGCATGGTCTCAGAAAATGTTTAGAAAGATTAATGTTTCGCGTAGACCAAATATAATCACGCATAAGTATAAATTCAAAGTGTTTTAATACATTGGTGAGAGGTCGCATTTACGTGAACAAGAACATGCACTAAGAAGGAAAAGCAAGCCAAAGTCGAAACGGGGTGTATCATGGACTTGGTACAACATGCGCTGCGACAATTGAGTGATCGTCAACATCATTTTGGGGCACAATTGAACTTCAAGTACGTTCCGAAACTTGCTACGCAGCGATGCTGACATCAAGTGTGTGTTGACCGAAGTTTTACCCCAAGTCACACACTGAACTGGCGCGTTACTTTAGCAACCCTTTTCTTTCTTGGTCCACGCTTTGATCTTGTAAATTTGTTATTATATCCGGCGGTACTGTAATAACACAAATTGTATCCAACTCTGTATTGGCTTTGAATATTTCAACATCGTTTACTTAGTGTGCTGCTTTTCTAATAACGCAAATATGTTTACAGTATTGCACGGGCTCTAAGTATTTCAACTTTGCAATGTATTGCTTTTATAATAATTACGCAAACTAAGTTATTTTTATTGTTGTTGGGACACTAACCCGGGCTATTGGGTCTGTGAATATTTCAATATTACCGACTTGATAATGCGTTGCATTCGTAATTATTACGCAAATATAAACATGGGCGCATTTAAATCATTGAAAAAGATAGTCAGGTCCCGGAGTCAAGTGTCTAACGAAAGTCGAGAAAATATTTTAAATACTTGTGACTCATTTGGCTCTTGGTGCTATGGATCCTGTCTTGATCAAATGTACATTACAGATTTTGTAAAAAATTTAAAGAGTTTGTTCAAATTACTAACTTGGCATTATGTTTGTAGAAAAGGAACAATACATTATGATGTGCTTTTTAGCTCTACTGTCGACTTTGTTGAGCAGAGCTTATCATATGAGTGATTGTCCGTCGTTGTCCGTGTCTTGCTGTTTTGACTTCTTCTTGAAAACTACAAGCCTGTTTGCTTTGATACTTGGTGTATATGTACATGCTGGCTGCCAAAGCACATTGTTATTCAGTTTCTGTTGTGAAACAGGAATACTGTGACCTTTGACCTTGCTAACAATTTTTCAATAGTGTAAGTCTTTTAATTCTTGTTTCAAGGAATTTTTTTTGTGATTTGATGTGAGCATCTGTGAGGACAAATTTTTCAAAAGTTAATTTGACCCTTCATCGCCAAGATAAAATTTGTAACTGCTACAAAGCTTTTCTCCTGAAATTGAAGTGATTGACATTGTTTCATCCAATCGTTTGATGGACACAAAATGTGACTATTCAGTAGGAAGTGATTGTAATCTCATTGTAATTATTTTTTCAGTTGGGCCTTGCGCATTGGACTATTCCAAAATGAAGACACCAGACCACTACTGGACTGACCCACCGGCAGATGAATTAGTACAGAGGCATAGAATACATAGCAGTAATCCAGCCACACTAAATCAGCCACAATCACCTAAGAGACCCAGTCTACAGGTATGCTGGCTGGGGCATGATGGAAATCGTTCTCCTAAAATCACCAAATGACTCAAATGATAATATTTTAAAATGGAATTAAATATTTTGAATCATTGACATTAATTATTAGTTAAAGACCATATTTTACTGGTGCTAAAAGTTATCTTATACGAAAAAAAAAACTGTCAACAAAAAACATGCTGGAATATTAAACATTTGTTTTAGAAACTATTATGATCATCGATATTAAAATAAAATCAACTGCATGAGAATTGTATTCTCACTTTGCAAATATGTTCTTTCCCAGAACAGGTTAAAAAAATAAAATGACATTTTAGTTAAAAATATTAAAGTAGATTTTCTGCCCTCACTTTCGCGCTCATTTCATTTGAGAGTACTGAAGGATCTTATCCTTTAGACCAACATACAATGTAACTAATCGTTAAGGACAAACAAACCTCTTCACTCATTGAGTGAAGGGCCGCTCAAATTCACATTCTTTAGTAAATTTTTAATTACCCATCCACAATCTCAACATTCGTTGGCGTACATATTGTTCAGTGGATACATATTTTCATTGATTGCTTTGATATTGAACATATAGGTACCTTGGATAGATCTCTCTTTGATTTGTTCATTTTGTTATATCTTTAATTCACTAATTTTGATGAATATTTTTAGTAATAATTGATATTTTTGACTTCTTGTTGAAAACTGCAAGTTTGATTATTTTGACATAGGTATCTTAGGTGGACCTCTCTCAGATTTGTTCACTTTTTTGAGATGATATCATCAATTCTCTAATTGAAATGTGCATTGCTAACAGCATAGTTATCTCAGCTAAGAGGCTGCTTGTTTGAGATGATATCATCAATTCTCTAATTGAAATGTGCATTGCTAACAGCAGAGTTATCTCAGCTAAGAGGCTGCTTGTTTGAGATGATATCAATTCTCTAATTGAAATGTGCATTGCTAACAGCAGAGTTATCTCAGCTAAGAGGTTGCTTGTTATAATATCTAATCAGAAAGTAAATCTTTTGTTGGACAGATAAACAAGAGAGGTGGCAGTACCACAAGTGATGAAGGCAGAGTTCCGATGTCAGCCAGAGATTATGTGGAATCTTTGCATCAGAACTCAAAATCAACATTATTATATGGAAAAAATAATGTCCTAGTACAACCTGTGAGTTACATTGTGTTTACTACCTGTAATGTGTATACATGTATTGTTTCCTAGCAACAAGACAGTCAATTTATTTCTGATTGGCTGATTCAAATCTGAGAAAAATAAGACATCTTTAATTACTTGCAAGCTTTCTTCTCCTCTCCTCTTTCCCATTGGCTGATTCAGAATGTACACCTGGTATTGGGCCAATTATTCTGAAGGTTTCTATTTGTTTTCCCTATTGGCTAACTCACACCTGGTATTCATATATGCTAATGAGCTATTAAAGTCTGGTTTTTCATATATTCTCAAACTGAAAACATCTGCCTTGAGTTTGCTGTTTATCATCTGTGCACCTAGTATAATTATATATTTTTTTTAAATATATAGAAAGAAGATATAGAATTAGTGCCTGGGTATTTGTCACTACATCAAGGCGTGGAAGGACTGACTATAAAATGGACCCCAAATCAACTCATGAATGGTTGCTCTGAAGACAGTGAATCAGAAACTGACAAAAGGTTCGTCTGAACATTCTTTTTTTTAAACCAGCCAATCACTGTATACTGATTCATTTAAACCAACCAGTCACTGTACATTGCCTCATTTAAACTAGCCAATTACTTTACATTATTCATTTAAACCAACCAATCAGTGTACAATGCTTCATTTAAACCAGCCAATCAGTATACAGTGCTTTATTTAAACCAGCCAATCGGCGTACATTGATTCATTTTAACCAACCAATTACTGTACTTGTATTGTTCAATACAAAATTTTAAAAGCATGAAAAATTGGTGTGATATAATGTATAATGATGAATTATTGCTTGTATAAAAGTTGGTGGTTATGCAGGGTTGGTTGGAAATATAAAAGATTTGCATAAACACTGGATCGTTTTTTGTGTGGAATTTCGGACCACTCTAGACCAGTACATGTCTGGAATTCTGGGTTTCAAATCTAAATCCAGAATTCTGTTCCTCAACTTTGGTCCATTACTTGTCTAGAATCCTGTACATCAACTCTGGACCAGTATCTATCTGGAATTCTGTGTCTCAACTCTGGACCAGTACATGTCAGGAAGTCTATGTCTCAAGTCTGAACTGGAATTGTACACTTTAACTCTGGAGTAGTAATGATCTAGAATTCTATACTACCTCAATTCTTAATTTTTCTCACCAATACTTTTCTTGAATTCTTTTTTTCTGGACTACGGGTCAGAAATCTTTACAAGTCATGCCAATTCTTGGAAGAGTTTGAATGTACAGGAGACTTGCTAGTGGATTTGAATACGTGTTAGGGACTGCAGTTGTTCTATTATGTGTGTTTGCACTTTTGTGGAATGTTTGCCGTTATCCAAGATATTTTCTCAACTTCAATCAATTTTTCTGATTGAATTAATTCATATATTTTCAGCAAATCAACAACAACAAAATCTTGGTTAAAAAGTTAATTTCCGGAAAGTTCATGATGTTTGAATTTCATAGATTTTTTTGTCTATTTTCAACTAAAAAGAAATATTCTTTTTCCTTAATTTTATGTTTGGTCCATGCAGTATATTGAGAAGGTGATTTTTATAAAATGTTTTTTTTGCATTACTTTCACTTATATACAAGCTTATTAAATATGGTGATTTAGGGAACTAAGGTGAAAAGATCCATTTTTGACATTACCTGGTAACACTAGCTGTACTCATTTCTATGTGGTGACAATCAGTTCTGCCTAGTGTCCTGCAGTGCTATATAAAAACATCGCTACATAGCCATTTTAATTCTGTTTACAATACACAAGTTTGTAGTTCTCCAGGCAAGTTTCTTTGTTGCTACATATCTGAATGTGTTTGCGACAGATAGGGAAGTTAATTTTATAACTGCGTGTGAGCCTGTTGCCTGTTGCCTGGGGAATATACATACTAATACCAAGATATTATAAATAATATTTGGTGCAATTTCCTCATATGTGTGTGATTGGAAACACATTTTTCTTGTTCTCATGAACTAAACTATTCTCCAATGTTTTTTACACCAGTACTGAAATAATGAATGAGTACACTTACTATTACTTGGTTTGTGCAGTATAAAGATGACAGGGCTTGTAAAATTGTTTTTTTTTGAACTTGAAAATATTTTTGTAGTAATAAACCTGATTGTTACCTATATTCACCTAATATATATTCCTGAAAAATATTATATTCAATTTTTTTTTTATAAACAACAAATTAACCAAAATTTGAATTATTTAAACTCTTAATGATATGCTAATTGTATGTAAATTTATTCACATACTGGAGCCTGAGACTGTTGTTTTATTGCAAACATAGATTCATGTTCATTGTGTCACATCACTAGAGCATTCTTGCATGCTGCATGCTGTTTAAATACATAAGCATCAAAGTACAAATGTTTGCCATCGTTGATTCTATGCATTGTGGGATACTAACAATAATCAGACTACCAATTCTATAAATTTACCCACAATGCATCATCCAAGATGGCAGACATTTTTCTAAATACAACAGGTAAAGGGTGGTTTGCTAGTTGACTTGACTTGACTGGTGGTGGGTGCTTAAATAGTGGTTAAAGAATAAAATAAGGTGGTTATGGTGGTGGTGATTTTTCAACTTACCAATTGCCACTAATACTATCAATTTGCTTTGATTTTAAATAATCGGCCATACCCTTATATCACCCTGAATCTGTTTGCATGTTGAGTAGAAGTATCTTCCGAAAGAGAAACGGCTACAGAGTGTGAGTATATATAGAACATCCTTTCCAGAATTACACCTCTTTTTTTTCACATCATAATTACCATCATTTATTTCTGCTTAGTTTACCCTTAAACAGGAATAATAAATAAATATATCTGTGTGTCTCAACGCTTTTTCTAAAACTACTGACAAATGTTGCCCTTTGATCAGATGATGTCACTTCCTGTTTCTTTATTCTTTGCTTTACTGTACTCATCCTGCATATTGTGTTATAGGTTTGTGTCGTATGGCATTTATAAATGTGTTTGTATCCATGGTTACCAGATGACACCATGCAACATTCATACCTTATGTGTTACATGTTACTATAGCAACACACTCTAAACAATATTCTTTAATAGTGATGCACAATCATGTGTGTATTTCTATTTCCACCATCAAAGCTTTACAAAATTTGTGCGTTTGTGATTTTATGGCTTCTAGTAGAGGTTATACTGTAATATTTTTTTATATTGGGGATATACTACGCACTTGATATGACACATGCCCAAATATATACTTCCAGTATTGTCACTCCATTCCATAAGTGGTGAGGTTTAAAGCGGGGGAGTCGTCACCTGCGCATGCGCCTTTGCGTTTTAGAGTGTGTTGTTATCGCCGCTCGGGACTCAATTCTCGTGCGTGTGCAGGTGACGACCCTCCCGTTTTAACTTTTGGATTCCTTTCTCACCCTTATTTAATCCAGTTGTAAAATTAAAGTCGAATAATTATACTGGTGAAAAAATATATTTAATGAAGTTTTATTAGCTGTGCTGTCAACTTCTTTTTGAAAACAACATGACCAATTGCTTTGATACTTAGTGTATATGCACCTTAGGTAGACCTCATTTAGATGATATCTTCAGTTCTCTAATTTTGGTGAATATTTTGTAATTTTTGGTAAAAAGTTATATTTTAAACTTCCTGTTGAGAACTGCGAGTTTGATTGCTTTGATATTATACATATAGGTACCTCAGATGGACCTCTCTCAGATTTGTTCATTTTGTGATGATATCTTCAATTCTCTAATTTTGATGAATATTTTTGTAATTTTTGGTAAAAAGTGATATTTTCGACTTTCAAAACTGCAAGTCTGATTGCTTTATTCTTATACATATAGGTACATGTACCTCAGATTCATTTTCTAATGATATCTTCAGTTCTTTAATTGAAATGTGCATTGCTAACAGCGGAGCTATCTCAGCCGACAGGCTGCTTGTTTATTTATTTATCTTGGCTATGTTCTTTTCCAAATGTTAATTTGTTTTCTTTCCCGGTATATGAGTTATTTATATGTAGGTGAATTTGAAGATAAAATTTACATGTACCTTAATCATGTTTTCATCACTCTTGTCTTTCCTGCAGTTGAGTAACATTTGTCTTCTTTCTTTAAGGCAACATGTTTCAGATTTTCAGGCTGCCCTCTAGTGATAGTAAATTTCACTATTCTACCTTTTGTTTTTTCACAAAGTACACATGTGCTGTGGTTGCACTGCTTGTAATTTGAGCATATCTTTGTCAATAGTTGTGTTATTATACATGTAAAGACATTCTTTAAAACTGAGGCTTATTAGCTAAAAGGATGCTGCAGTGTAATCTACAACTCATAGTTTTCAGATATGATCTGCTAACTGCATTCCTTCATTCACAACACTGTCTACTCATACCCCTATAATACTTACAACTAACCATTCATTGCCTTCTTCTCACAAAAAAACTTTTACAACCCCTATCCTACTCAAACTTTTTCTCATCTGTTATCCTACTAAAGAAAAAAATTACCAGACAATATCCCACTCAAGGAACCTCCTTTATCCTTCCCAAAAAACTTTTAAATCTTTTATCCTAGTCAAAAAACTTTCAAATCCTTTGTCTTACTCAAAAAACCTTTCAAATCTTTTATCCTTCTCAAAAAACTTTCAAATCTTTATCCTTCTCAAAAAACTTTTATATCTTTATCCTTCTCAAAAAACTTTTATATCTTTTATCCTTCGCAACAATCTTTTAAATCTTTTATCCTTCTCAAAAAACTTTCAAATCATTTATCCTTCTCAAAAAACCTTGCAAATCTTTTATCCTTCTCAAAAAACCTTGCAAATCTTTTATCCTTCTCAAAAAACTTTCAAATCATTTATCCTTCTCAAAAAACCTTGCAAATCTTTTATTCTTCTCAAAAAATTCAAATCTGTATCCTTCTCAAAAAAACTTTCAAATCATTTATCCTTCTCAAAAAAACTTTCAAATCTTTTATCCTTCTCAAAAAATTCAAATCTTTATCCTTCTCAAAAAACTTTTAAATCTTTTATCCTTCTCAAAAAACTTTCAAATCCTTTGTCCTACTCAAAAAACCTTGCAAATCTTTTATTCTTCTCAAAAAATTCAAATCTGTATCCTTCTCAAAAAAACTTTCAAATCATTTATCCTTCTCAAAACAACTTTCAAATCATTTATCCTTCTCAAAACAACTTTCAAATCATTTATCCTTCTCAAAAAACCTTGCAAATCTTTTATTCTTCTCAAAAAATTCAAATCTGTATCCTTCTCAAAAAAACTTTCAAATCATTTATCCTTCTCAAAAAAACTTTCAAATCTTTTATCCTTCTCAAAAAATTCAAATCTTTATCCTTGTCAAAAAAATTCAAATCTTTATCATTCTCAAAAAACTTTTAAATCTTTTATCCTTCTCAAAAAAACTTTCAAATCTTTTATCCTCAAAAAACTTTCAAATCTTTTATCCTACTCAAAAAACATTCAAATCTTTATCCTACTCAAACAAACTTTCAAATTGTTTGTCCTACTCAAAAAACTTTCAAATCTTTATCCTACTCAAAACAACTTTCAAATCCTTTGTCCTACTAAAAAAAACTTTCAAATCTTTTATCCTACTCAAAAAACTTTCAAATCCTTTTTTTTTCTTCTCAAAAAACTTTCAAATCCTTTTTTTTTTCTTCTCAAAAAACTTTCAAATCCTTTTTTTTTCTTCTCAAAAAACTTTCAAATCCTTTATCCTCCTCAAACAACTTTCAAATCATTTATTCCACCCCAAAAAACTTTCAAATCTACATCCTACTCAAAAAACTATCACACCATCTATCCTACTCACAACATCAAAAACCCCTATCCACACAGCATGTTATACAAATTAACATAGTTTTACTGATAGATACAGTGCATGTACGTTCTCTTAAGTATGCTATGTTTTGCATTATTCGCCATGTATGAATGTGACTTCAGTCTCCAGGCTTGAATTATGCCTCAAATTGAGAAAATGACAAACATACATATGCCTCAAAATCATTGGCTGCAAATATTCAATAATTGTGTATTGCAGCAGTTCTGGACACTTGCAACTATGACCACAAGATCTAGTACAACATCTGACTGTCAGTGAACTCTATAGTCTATGATTGTCAGACTTTATGCTCATTTGTTTGTTTGTTGTTTCTCCATTTGAGCCTGGGAATTTGTCACCTAGAAAATGCGGTATGCTACTCAATATACACCTAACTACATTGCTAGTAATATCTCATCATAAATTACTCCTTTTTTCATTGGTCAGTTTTAAACCCATGATAGCCAATCAAATGTGGGGTCAGAAGTGACTGTGGCTAATGATTATTAGCATACTAGGTATAGTGAGTGGTAATTCTCCAATCTATCCTGATCATGTTTGTTTGCGGCCTCCCTACTCCTCTACAGACTATCACCAGTTCATCTCATCATTGTCAGGCCTGTATTTCCTCTAATAGAATAAAAATGCATGACACTGTTGCATATTTTGTGATGGAAACATATTTTTCACATGTGATACTAAGGTATTTCAAGGAAACATTTCTTGGTACATTTCATATTCATGGGTCTCATTATGATATAATACTCTAACTGACTTCATAACTGTTTTGCCATATAGAGTACATGAATACTGCCCTCTAGAGTTGACAGCTGGCTAGTTTTAGCCAGTTTTGAATGCATCCTATTGCAGTGTATAAAATCAGATAATATTAAATATGAACAATATTTTTTTGTCTTCAGTTTGTACTGGGATTATGCAGTCACTGTGCATTTAGATGAGATCGTATACCTGCATTGTCATCAACAACGTAAGTCTAACCAAGGGTTTATGAAATTAAGGGCTTGCAGCTAGTGTGAAATGCAATGAAGATGCCATGTGAATTGCGAGTCAAACATAAATTTCTAGAAAAAACATATGCAGATGAGTGAGTCTGTGTAATAACTTTCCGAAGCATCTGCAGCATTCTGCAAGCTATTAAGTTTTATTCACGCAGGATGGTCCCTTTATTGTATTTCACCGTAAAACTTCAACTGCTGAAAGTCTCCACAGATACCCAAAATGAATGGGAAAAACCACATCTTCAAGGTGATGTGTTATTAAGTTGAGAACAAAATTTGTGATTGTATTTCTATGAATGGATAAAATACATTGAGAATCAACAACAATTTGAGAACGTTTTTGAATTCAGTAGAAAAACCAGACAATGATGACTTAAAAGGTATAGCAGTAAATTGTGACTAGCTATGTGTTGCGAGATTAGTATTCAATCAAATAATAGTACAGATGTGCGACTTTGAAATGTGATCACTGTTCATCCATTTCATTGTGGAAGAAGTGTCAGAGAAAGCATTTCTATGGTCAGAAACAGCAAGGAACCTTGAAATGTAATTCATGCCATAGGTATATTTAGGATAATTTTTAGGATATTTAGGATATCTGATAATTTGTATATAATATATTCTAGCCTAGCACTGCTACAAAATTTGTCCCTGACTTTCAAAATATACAAACATTTATCAAAGCAGTATATGCACGAAATGTTGAAATTCCCTCTGAACAAAATTAATCGCTTTACTCTCTTACAGCTGATAGTGGTGGCACTATTGTGCTTGTTGGTCAAGATGGTGTTCAGAGACCTCCGATTCACTTCCCTAAAGGAGGTCACCTCCTGGCCTTCTTATCGTGTCTTGAGAATGGCCTGCTTCCTCATGGCCAGTTGGATCCTCCACTATGGTCTCAACGAGGAAAGGGGAAAGTGTTTCCAAAGCTTCGACGGAAGAACTCACAAACAAACATACAGAAGTCACAAGATGATACTCAAATCTTTGATGGAGAAGAGGCTACAGACTACGTCTTCAGGATAGTCTCAACTTTCAAACCAGAGTTAGGTGAGTTACTGTAAAATGACTAATTTTCACTGGGTTTAAATTTCGCTGATTTACCATTTCAGGCATATTCTGTGGGTTTTAAATTCACGGTTTTATCATTTAGATAATGTGTTCTATGCTAAAATTTACATATTCACTGGGTTTTAATTTAGCGCATTTTCCAGTCACCAAAATAAGCAAAATTAAACCCCAGTGAATAATTAACACTTTTACAGTACTCAATTTCTATAAGCGTCAAGTAAATAACCAGCACATGTTTAATGGCATTTTTAAATTTTAGTAATAATAAAAACAATGTTAAAATATTTTAAATACTAAATTTGAGGGCATTTGCGAAAACAACCCAGCATGGTCGATATGTGGATGACACTCATGAAAGCAAGTCACTATCTTTGCTGCTTAAAGCAAAATTGCATATTCTACATTAGATGCACTATATGCGATTTAAAACATAAACATTACTCTCAGTCCGGGCTCACCATCTTAACTTGAATTTATCATCAAAAAACAAAGAATGACACATAATTTTGATTATTGTTTGGATTTATCACTTGTCAGTAAATGTGCCTGCTATCAATACACAGGGCTCATAGCCGTTTTAGTTTATGATAAATCCTAATCCGAACTTTGATGAGCTTTGGTGATGATGTTGGCCTGAATTAAGGGTCAAAATGTCTTGGGGAAAAATGTAAGCAAGTTCGGGAAAAGGTCTGGAAAGGTCTTGGGAATCATTTGGCTCTTGGTCCTATGAACCCTGATATATAAACATTGGTTATATGAGCTTCCCCAATGCACATGTGCCGTTCTGTCAAAAGTGTGGCTGCTGCAAAACTACTCCCAAAATTGGCTAAAAACTTATATATTGTGAAATTTAACCACTGCATGGTATATTGTGTATATTTCACTACCAGTACCATATTAAAATATTGTAAATCATAGTCAGGCTGTACATGATGAATGTATTTTGGTTTGTTTATAACATTGCATTATTTAGTTTCCAGAATATCTTGTTAGCCACCCTATGCAATGTTTTGGGAACTTGTATCTTCTGATGACCCAAAGAAGATGAAATGTGAATGACACTTTCTCTCTCTGTTCCTTAACAGTTCCTCAGGAGTTGGTTGATCCTAAAGCTACCCCAAATGGAAAGTTCACTTTTATGCCGTGGACTACGAAGGAACGAGCGCGACATAAATTGACACGTTCACAGCCAGCCATTGTTCAGCAAGTGAGCACTACGAGTGCTCCTTATTTTACCACTCAGATGACAACTCAAGTCTCAGCACTGGGAGGAACTGGATCTCCTACAAGGTGAGCTAAACAACTTACGATAGTCTTCGCTTCCAGAAAACTATTCGTCTTTCCCTTGTTCACACCTTGGTATACTGTAATTTTTTTGGAGGTGGGGCTGAATTTTGGGTGCCACTCTTCCTACCTCTCTAAAATAAAATGCAGGAATCTTCAAACCAAATAACACCCTCTTAAAATTGTATTGTCTGCTAAACTTTTTGAAAGTTTTCAACATATAAACAAACCATAAACCACAGTTATTGTTCATGAGTTATGCATGGATTTATTTTATCTGGTCAACCTAAAATATTGTCACGCAGAGATGTGTTTTGAATTCTGTTTTGGGTCCCAACATTTTCCTTATTTTCTTCAATATTTCTGCAAACGAACCCAAATTTTGAAGCCAACAGACAAAATTTGAGTCAATTTTTAGTTTTTACTCAAAAAATTTGGCTAATTTTGTCCCAAACTTCCGGAGGAAAGTGCAGCCTATAAACAGGACTATTTTGTGAATTTGTTATGAAAAAACAGAACTGGTGGTTAAGATTGGTCATACAAGTCATACAAGCAGTGAACCTAAACGTACAGGTGTTCATTGTAAACCA